AGCCATAGGCTCCAACCCTAGTTCACCCTTGCAACCAAACACATCCTCTATGGTATTTCAATTAATTAATTGTTATTATAATTAAAATTAATTAATATATAATAATATATTAACATTCAATTAATAATAATAATTCATTTAAATATATACATAGATATATTTAAATATAATCTCACTAATTTAATTTTAAGATTAACATTAAATACAAGCAACAACCTCATCAAATTTAATTGCACTGTGAGATTACCAAAATACCCTTTCGTCCTAAAAGACAAAAATACCCTTCTCACAAATTGATTCTTAAATTATCTTCAAAGTGTGTGACATGTAGGCTTCTTATCATATCGGCAGTGAGTAGTATTGCGATTAACACCAATTAATAGTCTCACTACACATAGACCAAGATTGGCCCCTAGCAAGGCATCATGGCCACCCGATAGATTCGGATTCAGCAAAACCGTAGCCTATCAATGATATTGTTATTGTGCAATCAAATCCTTACTGTTATCTCATCGAGACAAAGGTATAGAAATAGTGTCAACCTCAGATATCCTCGACATGTTTGTATTCAGTTACTGGACCAATGACAGGAATATTAAATTGGATTAAGCATCAACTCAATCCCACTATGGCCACAGATTTAATGGCATTGTTATTTACAGAATTACCTATTGAGATAACTTCTCCTGTACCCAGGAGTGATGAATCCTTTGTCGATCCACCATAGTCTCGATACACTTTCTCAATGAAGCCAATCACTACCGTATTGATAGCTCTAAATAAAACTACGTTGGGCTAGTGTCAAACTACACCAGTTGGTGCACAAGGTGCTCCGATGATCTCAAGTCTAAGGATCACATACACCACCATCCGTTATTCCATAGACACTGGGGTTACCATCCATATGGAATCCTCTGGTGGGTCAGTCTAGTGAACATGCCTCTAGCAAACACCCATATGTTGCACTAGGATGTTAGCAAACAACCTTGACAAGTGAGATCAGTCACTGCCTTTCGACAGGGTCATTCAACACTATGATAGCCTTACCGTATTATCTGTGTCCTTGGTCAGAATAACACTAGGGCTATGGACGTTTCTAGAATGGCCACCATATGTGCTCATAGGGTTCTCACTATCAAGATTTGAAACACTTGATACCCTCGTCACGGTTCTACCATACTAAAGACATATATTATTACATACACGATATAGAAGAATCTGCCTTTTATTGATAAATAAACATTTATTACAGAGCTAATTTTACAATAATTGATTGGCTCTAGGGCACCTACTCTAACAGTTCCTAACTATTGCATCTACTAATTGGTTGATCTGGGGCAGCAGAAAACTTTCTTTGGGAGAAGCTCTATTCAAATCTGTGAAGCCGACGCAAGTCTGCCACTTGCCATTTGACTTTTTCACTAGGACTGGGTTGGCAAGCCAGTCCAGATATTTCACTTCCTTGATGAAGTTGATGTTTAGGTTTTTGTCAACTTCATCTATGAGCGCTTTAGAGCACTCTACATCTATAGATCTTCTTTTTTGTTTGATTAGACGAGTTGTTGGGTCGATATTCAATCTGTGGCACATTATCTCGGGATTGATCCCCACCATATCTGCATGTACCATGTGAATACGTCGATATTTTTCTTTAGAAACCCCACCCAAACTGTCGGCCATTTCTTTGCCCAGATTGCTGCCAATTTTTAACACGCGAGTTGGGTCTTCTACACTAATAGCTATTTCTCGAAACTCTTCTATTGGCTTTGCTGCGGGCTCTTCTTTATGGATGTGAGGATCTATGGTATCCTCAAGAGGTCTAGGGTTTGGCTCAGACTCTACAATGACCCTGGTTCTCGGGAGTGGCCATTTTGATGCAACATTGATGGCCTAGTTGTAACATTCCCAAGATTATTTTTTGCAGCTTCTGAAAGTTGTGACCCTACCTAGAGTCGGGAACCTTATTGCCTGGCAGCGTACTAAGGTGACTATACTCAGATCATCTAGGATCGATCTTCCAAGGATGACATTGTAAGTGGTCGGGCAGTCCACCATTAGGAATTTCGCCATCACCATCCTGATTTTGGGTTCTACCCCTAAGGTCACAGGCAAGTCAATTGTTCCCTTGGGGACAAGCTATCCCCAATGAATCCATATAGCGACAATGGACACGCCTTCAAGTTTCTCTTTGTGAATCTCATTTCTTAGAAAGCTCCCAAGAAGATGATGTTCGCTGCTGTAACGTTGTAATACCCAAGATGTCAAAGGTATGTTCCTAACTCAAAATAGTCCTTTAAATGTTAATTTTATGTTAAAAAGCATAAAATCTAACTAAGGGCAAAATAGTCAATTCATTTGGAACGGTATGAATCAATTATCCATAGAGAGGCTTAGGGGCAAAATGGTTATTTTGCATATGGATAAGCATTGAAAAATTCAAGGATGAGTAGGCTTCATTGCATTTAATGGCATTAATTAAGTAATAATTATGTCTAGTGTGAAATGACCAAAATGCCCTTATATGAAGAATTAAGGACTTATGAGTTATACAATTAAAATAATTGGGCCAATTGCATAATTTTGGAAAATAAATGAAATATTTTCCTATAAATGAGATGAAATTCGTTCAAGCCAAAGGAGAGAGCCTTTCTTCAACATTTCTTCCATTTTCTCTCAAATCTTCCATGAAACAAGCTTTCTTTCTCTAGGTTTTCAAGGAGTTTTGCATAATTTTTCAAGGAGAACAAGATAGGAGCCTTGGATCTTCAATTTGAAGGGTTTAAGGTAAGGATTAAAAACTTTAGTTTTGATGTGATTTGAAGATTTGAGGTAGATGTTGAGGTATAATGTTATATATGTAGGATTAAGGTGTAAAAGAAGTCAAAGGCAAAGGATTTGTTGGAGGAAGTCTTTAAAAAGGTAAGGAAGAACCTCCCATGACTTTAGGGTTTATGCTAGGGTTTGTAGATTTTTATGAAACCTTAAATTAAGGCTTTAAGGCATAGAATTAGTTGATGGCAAGTGTAGTTGAACTCATTTATTCTACTTATTGCCTTGAATTCATTATACATGAAGTTATTGCTCTTTATGTTTTATGAGTTGTTATGTTTGATTGAAGAAAATGAAGTGTGGATACTGATTGTGGCAAAAATTGTAGTATTGGAGGCCACATGGTGTTGAATGGTTGCTATTAGAAGTGTTGATGTGTTGTTTGCATTAGCTTACAATGTTATAGCAATAATGGATGATTATGGAAATGAGATTTTACACTTCCTTTAAGATGTTAAAGACTATTAAGGGGAGGTTTATTTGATCCACAAGTTAACCTATTGGTTAATGTCAATAGGAATTGATGTGGCATAGTTAATATGAAAATTCGGATTTAATGGGCTTAGGGGTTTTGTTAACCCTGCTTCTGTATTTCGACCATAACTTGAGTTATAAAAATCGAAATGAGATGATTCTTGAAGCATTAGAAAGCTAAGACACAGACCTATAACTTTTATGTTTATGCCAAGAGCCAATTCGTTTGAGAAAAGGATGGAAAATGGCCTGAAGCATAAACTGGTTATTAAAGTTTAAGATTTAACATGATCAATTCTTATGATTATGAATTGATTATTAATGTATTATTGTAATTATGCCATGTACTAATGTTTACCCATTAGTTAGATGATCTTTGAAAGATATACATGGTCATGATGTCAATGCATGATTAATGTTATGAAATGGCATGAAGATGCAATGTAATACATGTTTTAAGATGATGTATGTGAGCAAGAGGTAATGTAAATGGATTGATAATCCATAGATGAATTAAAAGTATTAAGCTCACCAAAATATGTATTTACATGCCATAAGATGTTAGAGATGCAAATAGACATGATAGAGATGCATATAGACATGATGGAAAACGCGTAAGCATATCCTCGTATACCGGTTGAGGAAAGATGAATATATGCTTTAGATGCTAAATAACGCGTAAGCACGCCTCCCGATGATATGAGCTCTAGATGAAATTTGAGGCTAGATGATATGAAGTGCTTAAGATGCTAAGAAAGGTCCGATCGGCTAGACGTTAAATGTTTCATATGCATTTAGTTGCATTACATGAGTTATGATGTTATTTACATCATGAGATGATTTATACTCATGTTAGATGATTTTAGATGTTATGTCATGACATGTGATGTGTGTGTACTATGTTTACATACTTATTTGTATGTGTACACATTGATGTTTATATAGCCATGGGATAAAATGATGAAAAGCATATGAATTAGTAATAAAAGGGGAAGTATCCCTAGATGTAAAAGATAAGTGATGTGTTAATAAATATGTTTAAATAAAGATCAAATAGTACATTCAGAATGAAACGGATCATTCCTTACTGAGCGATTAGCGCTCACCCTTTCATTGTTGATTGCTTTGCAGGTAGACTAGAAGCGAGGGATGCTAGAGACAGCGGGACTACACGTGAGGGGAGATGATTTATTGTCATCTCGATGTTTTTATCTTGATGTAAATAATGTAAATGATAAATATTTGTGAAATACCTTTGGAAGCTTCCACCCTATAAATATGTTTTGATTGTGTAATTTCTTAAAGTTTGTAAATTATAAGTTTGGATCCTGCGTGACATTTTATATGCATGTTTTGGATATTATTATTATTATCCTTATACAGTTTTTTTCTAAATACAACTCGTTCTCCAGACATGTATCCTCGGGATTCTCATTGAGGGATATTCAGAGGATACCTGACTGGAGGGGGGTTTTACATTTGGTATCAGAGCAAGTATTTTTTTTTTTACTTTAAAAAGGGGTGTTTTAAGATGTTTTCTATTCGGAGTCAGGCATTTATGAGAGTTGATGACAGTATCCCTCATGTAAAGTTCCGCTGCTCAAGTTGTCCGATCGCTGTAAGTATGTTTACCTAATTTTATGTAAGGATTGATTAGATGATTAACGTTATATGTGTGACTGTGATAGGGAATAAATATGAGGAAAACCAGGAGAACAGATCCAGGTCGCAGTGATGCTTCAAATGCACAAGATGTTCCAACTGCACCTGAAGCTCCTAACCCAGCAGCTGCTACTTCAAGCACTCCGGGTTTAGATGTTGCAACATTGGAGCGTATGATCCAAGAGGCTGTTAATAGAGCTTTAAGGAGAACCCCGCTGGAAAGTACAAGTGCTCCAGTAACCGCAGTGACAACCAATGTGGTACCAAGTCAAGCAGCAGGGACAAGTACTCCAGAAGCAATGGTTGTCCCAAAGCAGATTGAACCAATTTATGGCCTCTCAAGTAAACATCAGCCTCCAGAATTTTGTGGCACTAATGATCCAGTAGTAGCCGAACAATGGATCAAGTTGGTGGAGAAAGCTACTGCTCTATTTCCTATGACAGATCAAAAGAAGATCCGGTATGCTACGTACCTGTTGAGAGGAGATGCTATGACATGGTGGGAGCTTATGGAGCAGACTCAAGATACCACCACTCTCACTTGGTCAGGGTTCAAGGAATTGTTTGAGGAGCAGTACCGGACAGCAGACATGATATCCTCAAAACTACAAGAGTTTATTAGTCTGCAACAAGGAAATATGACGGTCAAAGAGTATTCAATCAAGTTCAACTCCTTGGCTAAGTTTGCACCCATACTGGTCAGTATACCACAGACCCGATTGGAGAGATTTGTGGGGGGACTTCATCCTACTATTGCTAGAGATGTTATGTCAGGTCATCAGCCCTCCCAAACATATAGTGAAGCACTCACTGGAGCCATTAGAGCAGAGGTCTACTTACGAAAGGAGACCAAATTAGCTCTTTCCCCAACAATGGCAAGTAGTCCTCTCCAGCTTGGCCAATCCAGTAGTGCAGAACAAGTTGTTAGCAAAGACGATAAGGGTAAAGGCAAGAAAGGAGTCTTACCTAAAGCCAACAGGAAGGACATGAAGAAAAAGGGCCAACAAAGGAAAGGTGAGATCAATTACTATAAGAAATGTCGGAGAAGACACCGGGGTGAATGTCTAGTGGGGACCAATGTTTGTTTCAGGTGTCGCCAGCTAGGTCATATTGCTAGAGATTGTCCCATTTGTTCTGCAACTTCAGTACCTGCAGTTGGAGGCATGACAACCAAGGTATATAATGTGGCCCAGATGTAGGTAGATGCCAGCCCTTCAGCAGTCACTGGTCAGTTATTATTCCATGGTACTCCCTTGTGATGCCATTTGGATTGACTAATGCACCTGCAATTTTTATGGACTTGATGAACAGAGTTTTTCATTATGTCCTTGACAAGTTCATAGTGGTGTTTATTGATGATATCCTAGTTTATTCCAAGACTTTAGAAGAACATGCCAAGCACTTGAGATTGAGTCGCACTGGCTATCAATGCGCCCCCTAATAGTGACCACCTACGTGTAATACCCAAGATATCAAAGGTATGTTCCTAACTCAAATAGTCCTTTAGATGTAATTTTATGTAAAAAGCATAAAATCTAACTAAGGGCAAAATAGTCAATTCATTTGAACGGTATGAATCAATTATCCATAAGAGGCTTAGGGCAAAATGGTTATTTTATGGATAAGCATTGAAAAAGTCAAGGATGAGTAGGCTTCATTGCATTTAATGGCATTAATTAAGTAATAATTATGTCTAGTGTGAAATGACCAAAATGCCCTTATATGAAGAATTAAGGACTTATGAGTTATACAATTAAAATAATTGGGCCAATTGCATAATTTTGGAAAATAAATGAAATATTTTCCTATAAATGAGATGAATTCGTTCAAGCCAAAGGAGGAGCCTTTCTTCAACATTTCTTCCATTTCTCTCAAATCTTCCATGAAACAAGCTTTCTTTCTCTAGTTTTAAGGAGTTTTGCATAATTTTTCAAGGAGACACAGATAGGAGCCTTGGATCTTCAATTTGAAGGGTTTAAAGTAGAATTAAAAACTTTAGTTTTGAGTGATTTGAAGATTTGAAGTAGATGTTGAGGTATAATGTTATATATGTAGGATTAAGGTGTAAAGAAGTCAAAGGCAAAGGATTTGTGGAGGAAGTCTTAAAAAGGTAAGGAAGAACCTCCCATGACTTTAGGGTTTATGCTAGGGTTTGTAGATTTTTATAAAACCTTAAATTAAAGCTTTAAGGCATAGAATTAGTTGATGGCAAGTGTAGTTGAACTCATTTATTCTACTATGCCTTGAATTCATTATACATGAAGTTATGGCTATTTAGTTTTAGAGTTGTTATGTTTGATTGAAGAAAATGAAGTGTAGATGTGATTGTGGCAAAACTTGTAGTATGGAGGCCACATGTGTTGAATGGTGCTATTAGATGTTGATGTGTTGTTTGCATTAGCTTACAATGTTATAGCAATAATGGATGTATGGGAATGAGATTTTACACTTCTTTAAGATTTTAAAGACTATAAGGGGAGGTTTATTTGATCCATAAGTTAACTATTGGTTAAGTCAATAGGATTGATGTGGCATAGTAATATGAAAATTCGGATTTAGTGAGCTTAGGGGTTTGTTAACCCTGCTTCAGTATTTCGACCTAACTTGAGTTATAAAAATCAAATGAGATTATTCTTGAAGCATTAGAAAGCTAAGACACAGACCTATAACTTTATGTTTATGCCAAGAGCAATTCGTTTGAGAAAAGGATGGAAAATGGCCTGAAGCATAAACTGGTTATTAAAGTTTAAGATTTAACTAATCAATTCTTATGATTATGAATGAGATTATAATGTATTATTGAATTATGCCATGTACTAATGTTTACCATTAGTTAGATGATCTTTGAAAGATATACATGGTCATGAGTCATGCATGATTAATGTTATGAAATGGCATGAAGATGCAATGTAATACAGTTTTAAGATGATGTATGTGAGCAAGAGGTAATGTAAATGGATTGATAATCATAGATGAATAAGTATTAAGCTCACCAAAATATGTATTTACATGCCATAAGATGTTAGAGATGCAAATAGGACATGCCATAAGATGTTAGAGATGCAATAAATATTTAATTAATATATACAAAAATAATGAGTGAAATAAATTAATTGTTGATTATTACCATAAAAGTAATTATTATTTAATAAAAATATCATTCCCAATATTTAATTAATATATACAAAAATAATGAGTGAAATAAATTAATTGTTGATTATTACCATAAAAGTAATTATTATTTAATAAAAATACCATTCCTAATATTTAATTAATATATACAAAGATAATAAGTGAAATAAATTAATTGTTGATTATTACCATAAAAGAAAGAGAAAGAGAATATTCTAGGGAATATATATATTAAAGGGGCGAGGAGAATGTCAATGAGTAAAGGGTATGGCTACGAGGCGTTCATAAAAGGTCAATTGGAAGGGCGAGGAGAATGTCAATAAAGAGGGCACTAGTGAGCCAGTAGCACCGACTATCAATGTGCCCCCTAATAGTTGACCACCTCCGTCAACCCAAAATGCTTCTGTTTTGGATGAGGCTGCAATCAGCAGGATGATTCAGGCAGCCATTACTGAGGCCTTTATAAGGGTTATCCCGGAGAGTATAAGCAACCAAGAGAAAACAAATCCCTTACCTCCAGTCGTTCAGCAAGGATTTCAAAAGAAGGGTGGCAAGAATAAGAGGACTCCACAGCAACAACAGAGAAGGAATAATCTTCCCCATTGTCAAAAATGTGGGAGGTAGCATAAAGGGAATTGTCTATTAGGGACCAATGTGGGTTTCAAATGTAAACAACCGGGACACATGGCAAAGGACTGTAAAGTTACTCAGGCTACTTCCCTTCAGACTGTTAGAGGTTCGACTACCAAAGTTTACTCAGTGGCTCAGAAAGAAGCCGAAGATAATCCATCTGTAGTTACTAGTCAATTACAATTCCACTCTACCTCTTTATATGTACTGATTGATTCTGGGGCTACCCATTCTTTTATCTCATATAGTATTATAAAAAGATTAGGTTTACAGCCTAGTAAAGTGGAACATGCTGTTAAAATCGAGATACCTAATAGGGAGAATTATTTTGCTGATAAGTTGTTGGTGGGGGAAACTATAGTGATTGATGGGCATGAATTGAAGGTTGATTTGATTGTTTTTGATATGCCTGATTTTCATATGATTTTGGGAATGGACTTGCTGAGCAAATATGGAGTATTGATAGATGATCGGAAGAAAAAGGTCAGGTTTAACTTAGATGCTGGAGACAGTTTCACCTTTCCAGAAGGTCATCTACACAGCCTGATGATAAGTGTAGTGAAGGCTAAGGAGGGGTTTTACATTAACTTTGATCGTGAAGCTTTTAACTTAACTAGGCAAGGCAAATTAGTTGTAACTGCTATCGGCATATAATGATTAAATTCCTAAAATATATTGAATTCGAATGTACTATCCTCTCCCCTTTTAATAAAAAAATTTCTCCTTGCAATAAACGTTTCATATTTAATCAATATTTCTCCTTCCCTGTGAAACTAACTTTTGAGTTTCATAACATTATATACCTAAAGCAAGCATATGTGAATCAATTATAACAATTTTACATAAACACATTTGAATGTTTTAAGTCCAATACACGAACTTGTGAGCTTATGAGAAACTGGACTTATGAACTCAGTTTAAATACTCTTTTTTAATCTATCTAGCTGACACTCAACAGGGTCAGATACCAAATATTTCCAAGCAAGAAGTAAGTATTCATTTTTAAGCTAGGGAGGGGTTTTATAGTTGGTATCAGAGCGCGATTTTGGGTGTTTGAAATGATGTTTTGATTGAATTGTTATAGTGATTTTACATTTAATTGATGTTGGTATTGGTGTTTGTAAGTAATGGAAGTATCATTCCTTACGCATCCCCAAGATACTCTCTCCAACCGATTGCTCTAAGTATTTTCTTTACTTGCTTAGTGAATAGAATTAGCTAACATTGATTGAAATTTGTGTGAGTAAAGGGTATGGCTACGAGGCATTCACGAAAGGTTAATAAGAGGGGCGAGGAGAATGTCAATGAAGAGGGCACTAGTGAGCNAAAAATATCATTCCCAATAATTAATTAATATATACAAAAATAATGAGTGAAATAAATTAATTGTTGATTATTACCATAAAAGTAATTATTATTTAATAAAAATATCATTCCTAATATTTAATTAATATATACAAAGATAATAAGTGAAATAAATTAATTGTTGATTATTACCATAAAAGAAAGAGAAAGAGAATATTATAAGGAATATATATATCGAAGGGGCGAGGAGAATGTCAATGAGTAAAGGGTATGGCTATGAGGCGTTCACGAAAGGTTAATTAGAGGGGCGAGGAGAATGTCAATAAAGAGGGCACTAGTGAGCCAGTAGCACCGACTATCAATGCGCCCCCTAATAGTTGACCACCTACGTCTACCCAAAATGCTTCTGTTTTGGATGAGGCTGCAATCAATAGGATGATTCAAGCAGCCATTACTGAGGCCTTTAAAAGGGTTATCCCGGAGAGTATAAGCAACCAAGAGAAAAAAAAATCCCTTAACTCTAGTAGTTCAACAAGGACTTCAAAAGAAGGGTGGCAAGAATAAGAGGACTCCATAGCAACAACAGAGAAGGAATAATCTTCCCCATTGTCAAAAATGTGGGAGGCAGCATAAGAGGAATTGTCTATTAGGGACCAATGTGCATTTCAAATGTAAACAACCAGAACACATGGCAAATGACTGTAAAGTTACTCAGGCTACTTCCCTTCAGATTGTTAGAGGTTCGACTGCCAGAGTTTACTCTGTGGCTTAGAAAGAAGCCGAAGCCAATCCATCTGTAGGTACTGGTTAGTTACAATTCCACTCTACCTCTTTATATGTACTGATTGATTCTGGGGCTACCCATTCTTTTATCTCATATGGTATTATAAAAAGATTAGGTTTAGAGCCTAGTAAAGTGGAACATGTTGTTAAAATCGAGATGCCTAATGGGGAGAATTATTTTGCTGATAAGTTGTTGATGGGGGAATCTATAGTGATTGATGGGCATGAATTGAAGGTTGATTTGATTGTTTTTGATATGCCTGATTTTCATATGATTTTGGGAATGGACTTCCTTAGCAAATATGGAGTATTGATAGATTGTCGGAAGAAAAAGGCCAGGTTTAACTTA